CCAAATAATCAAACTGGCCCGGCGTATCAATTCCGCTTTCTCGCTCTGTTTCGGAATATTACACGTCGAATGGTCGTCTACTTTCAGTGAAAGTCGAAATGTAGAATGTGCCGTATGACACCCTGTCAGCAATGTTGTTGCAATCTCACTGGAAGCAACTGCCACAGCAACGCTTCCATTCAGACGTACCCTGGCAAGGATTTGGTCGAGCAAGAAGGAGAGCAAAAGATAGTTGAAAAGTACATAATATTAATTAACACATACATGATTGAGCCTCGCAGTCCTTGTCGCCGCCGCTAACTGCTTGCCGTCGTGTCCTGCCGCCGTCCGCGTGCTTCCCGAAATGACGTGTGCAACAGATCGTACTTATGTGATAATATATTTTTAACTCATGTTTTTGTTGTTGTAAGGTGGCGCGGACGGACGGACAGTAATCTTATGATTTTAAAGACCGGGATGCTTCTTGGTGGATGCGCATGCACATTATTTTAGAGGAATTTCCGCTTACAGCACTAGCGATGAAAATAATTATAATTACCATTTTGCAACAGTGAACCAGTACGTTGACTGCTAAGTTCGTATTCATATAGATAGGGGTGCAAAGGTGCGTTTCATGCCGTTGTTGGCATACACGACTAACACACGTCGGTATTCTACTCACCATTATACGAAGTATCTAAAGTATACATAGCAGTGGAGCGATTTTCGCAACTCCACTACGACCTCAACTGCCATTTGTGAATTTCAAAAACACATAAAAGTAAATACTACCCTCCCAAACTCGAAAACACATGAGTCAGGAAGTAAGGAAAGTGCCAGCAGTCTAGTAATTATAACATGGGCAGAATCACCGGTAGTGTATACTGGTCCACACATAAAAACTAAAAAAAAAACACTGTTCATCCTACGTGTAGATTATAAGGACATCGGTCATATTACAATGCAAACCTCATATGACATGAAATTCTGATTACCATAGTATTACTCTTAGCTAAGGCGATGAAACCTTGCAACTCTCCCAGTAAAAAGCGAAAAGTAGTCATGCTAGAATTTTTTTGTCGAAACACTACGCATACAGGCACCGATCGAAGATAGTAGCTTAGTAGTAGTATGGACTGAAAATCTTTATAATCCACAGATTATAGGTCATAAACGTATACAAATTCGATATTATCGATACCATCCACTAGAAGCCTAGTTGTACTGCAATTTGTTGCAGGTATCTGGTTTATCTAATACATGTTATGTACATACTTGAATAGTGCACATCCACAAGGACTGAAACAATCATATGATTGCATACGTAGGTATTGCAAAGTATATGCAACAACTTGGATATTCATTCTGGCGATAATCAGGACTCCGAGATAACATCTGGGATGTATTTTGAAGAAGCTAGCAAAAAAGTATTCTGGGCAAATTGACCTGGATAGGCCCTACTATCAGATACAATGCGAGCCCGATGAGCCATAATAAGTAAGCGAAAACTGCACCATTGCCAAAATATAAGCTAGAACGCGCCGACACTCGGTTAGCTGGTGCCGCTGCAACCAGTGCCACCAAGTATTCATAACTGGGCGTTTAATTGTCATTCAAAGTGTCGTTTTCCCTATTCATTCTTCAACTTGCCTCCAAGACCTCAAGAACCACCACGAACCGTCTAAATCTCGTCACCAATCAAGCTTGCGCATATTTTTCTTGTGATGGCCACGCTCGCTGCCGGTTGTAGCACTAGCTTGGCGGCCCCGAATGCCGATCAAACCGAATTCTCTGCGGTGAACTCGAAGGAATTGATTGATGCCAACAGCAAGCGATCCCTACGATGTTCCGAGACTATTTTCGGCGCCGACAGAGTTGACAAGGACGACGAGGGAGAAGTTGACAGTGTTGATGATGAAGAGAGAGGGGGCAAAACGCTGGCTCAAAATTTTGCCAAGTGGCATGCGAA